ATCAAAATAGCAAATTTGGAAACAATTCGTGTCGAAGCTGAGTCTAAATATCCAGAGGGTGAACTTTTTGCAGTTTTGGATTTGGAAAAGAAAGAAGGTATCTTAAGTTTAAATTCGAATTAAATAAACCTTATAAGAAATTCTTATGGTTTATTCTGTTATTTTTAAGAATATTATAGTTGGAATGCAACTTATAAAATGTATCATGAGTTTGAAACGACCCGTCCAGCACGATTACGAGTTACGCTTTTTCAAACTCAATTGAGTCAGGAAGATAAGTTAGAACTCGAAAAAAATGCATTTCACATACCTCAACCGATTCTATACTCGTATGGAAGAAGTGGAATTTCTTTAGAAATTGATCCAGAGATTTTTGAATTCAGGTTAGTATTATCGTCATGCTATATCGATATAGCCAATAGTAACTATTTTTATTAACCACTTCTAATTTATCAAAACAGACATATCACACAAATGGAAAAAAAATTTCTAGTATTTCTTTGGAATAAAACCGCCAAAAGGCTAGAAATATATTTCGATACTATTAACCGTTTATCAAAAACAATATTCGACCAAAGCGCAATTAAAAAAATAAATCCAGGCGAACATTGTATGATTACGGTTAACGAGCTGAAAGGATTGATAGGAATCTATAATAATGAAAAAGGCGTGGTAAGAATCCAGTAGTCTATAAAACGATTTTATTGGACTAATTTAAATTACTTATTTCTAACATTATTTTAGTTGAATACATATAGCTTTGAGCAAGATCAAACCAATCTGTATTTACATTATCGCAATATTCAGCTCTGTCAATGGTATAATGATACTGTGCCGGATATTGCACATTTCTTTTTTATCAAAAACACCGAAGACATATGCTTTGTTGAAAGAGACGGTCGCGCCCGTATTTATAATTTAGTAAATGATAGCTTTCGTCCAGGGATCGCACAACTCCCTCATGATGCTACTAATGTTCGCAGTACTCCGGATGGCACATGCATCGTAGCATTTGTTAAAGAGGAGATAAAGGAAGAAGTCGAAATTACGACATCAAACCAGCTCGATGAAAATCTCGAGAACAATTCAAAAATGCAAGGTAACAATGAAAATGTTTTACATAAACGTGATTTTATACTAACACTAGTCTACACTTTACAGCAGTAAAGCAATTAATTCGAGGTCACGTGTACTTTTGCGAAAACTTTAGCCGACATGCTAGTAACATTGTCGCTATTTCATTCACTGGATCCTCACCCGAAATATTTCAATTTTCCATGTTTGAAAATCGTCAAATGCATTTGACTGCAATCGATCAAGAAAAAGGCACTTTTAATTCAGCCATAGTAAAAATTACTCATGCAAAAACGCAATATCGATTCGAAAGACAATCACAACAAAAATCTCTTGGTAAAGTTAAAGTAGAAAGTCGACGACCATTCGTCGTTGTTGGAAATGAGACATACTTTACTCGTGATATCCATATAGGAGATTTAATAGTGATTGGAGATGAAAAAAAACAAGTAATCGAAATTATAACCGATACAGTATTAAAAATTTCCAGTCATGACATTCAATTTGTTGACATCGAATATGGCGTTTGGAAAGAGTTTAGCATTGAAACACGAACAACTATCAATGGACTTCTTGATGCTTACTCAATGGTATTCACGAAATATTCGGTAACAAGTCCAATCGGTCGCGTTGACAATCCATTAACACTTACAGTTGTAGTAGATAATCCGAACAAAAACTTAGAAATAAAAAAATTCACAATTAAAATTCAAAAATATGTTGAAAGAATGCTTGCAATGTTTAAAAAAGAGACAAAGAAGCCACTCGGTCATTTGAGATACTTTAATACTAGATTTAAAACATTCCAAGACATTACGAATAATTTCACTAACTATCAGCTTGGCGAGTAAGTATTTCTCTATTGATGTACATAATCCAAAATAATCATTAACGTTAACGTTAAATGCTAAATTTCATGTTATTATAGATGGATGGTCGATTTCTTTTGCCTAATTCCATTACAAATTGCTGTAGCCCGTGATAATGAATTTATTCCTCTTCAAGACGGTCTTTTTTCTTCTGAGATAGAAAAACCATCGTTAGATGAAGGCTTTGGGTTCATTGGAAGTGTCAGTAAAGCTATCTCTTTTGGATGGTATGAAGCTATTTTTGAGCATTATGCTGATTTAGAGGTCAAAGTTATTTCTTCAATGGGCGAACAATCATGTGGTAAGTTAAATACATGTAGTGCTCATATTATAATATCGATGTAACAATAACATATCATATTAACATTACTAATAGGAAAGAGCTATTTATTAAATCATTGTGTCGGCTCAACTTTTGATGGCTCCGCAATGGTAAGTTATTATCAATTGATTAAAAGATTATTTATTGTTTATTAACTTATTTCAATAAAAAGCGTTGCACCGAAGGAGTTTGGATGTCTCTTGGTAAAAAATTTTATTTTAAATGCTATTTATTTAAAATTTTTCAATATTTAAAGTAAATTTAATTCTTATAACACAATTTTTTTTTAGTAAAAACTAATGAAATTCTCTATGTTGCGCTTGATTTCGAAGGTTAGGATTTGTGTTTATAGATGTTTAAACGAACATATTAATATAAAATTCAATTATAATAGGCCTTGCTAGCATTGAGAGAACGCCACAAGAAGAAACTTTTATGCAGTTGCTCAATGCAGCTCTTTCTAACCTTGTATTATTTAAAAGTCAGTTTGCCGTGAGTCGGGATATATCTTCGATGTTTCAACGATTTCAAGA